TACCAGAGGCCAGCTTTCACACTTTATAAGCTCTCCTTATTTTCCTGTGTCTCTGCAGACCCCCTTAGTGGATGTAGCTTTCTGGCCAGAAGACTGGCTTTAGTCAGTCAATGCCATTGACTCCTTGCAGAGTCAGAGCACCAGAGGAATAAATCCCTGACCTAGAATAGTCTTCTGTTCTCAGAAAATGACTGTGCTGTTCAAAAGACTGTTTTCTCTCTTGTTTTGACAGAAGAAAAGTTATAGTATTCTATGCCTTACTCTGCAAAGTTCAGCATGGCCTTTACAAAGGGATGCCTGCATGAAAACAGGAATAACACGAATCTGCACAATGTATTTCTAAATTATATAGGAAATGAAAAACTGACGTTGAATTAAAATGTGATTTGTGTTCTCATGCTCCTTTTCTCAGTGTTCTGATTTCAAGCAAAAAAATGTGTGGTGTGAAAGTGATGCTTATGTGCTTTTGGAACTCTGGTCATGCCTGGCTTATCCACTCTGGGCTCAATCATCTCTGCCTCTTTTTTCTGATACTCTACTAAAGCTTGTTCCCAAATGTTGCTGCAAAGCCAAGTAGTTGGGATGTGTGGGTGTAGTGCAAGTGAGGACTTGATCTGAGACACACTTCACGCCTATCCTAAGATGCAGTACAGAGGCAGCCTAAGAATTCACCTAACTCAAAAAATGGGAATTCTCTAAACATTTTTAAATATGTCAAAATTTTATGTCAATCCTCTTCACTATCAAAAAAAAAAAAAAAAAAAAAAAAGGGCCTGAATTTTTTTCCACCATTATAAAGATAATTAAAGAAGAAAAACATATTACTGTAAGTGTAATCATATACTATTTTTTTAAAAATCATTGTGCATAGAGGCCTTGACTGGGTGCTGGGTGACTCACCCTCTGCTCAGTCCTTAGTCACCTCATATGAAACAAGTACTAGACAAAGACTCTGGAGGAAGGTAAAACAAGTGAAATAATCTGCATAATTTAAGAATTTAATCTGTCCACATCCCGGTTCTAATGCTGACCAATTATGTAGTGTTGAAACAAAACTTATTTTTGAACCAATTAATTTTGTATATGGAATAAAAAACTAGAAAAATTGCCACTGAGGAGGTCAGTTAACTTTAATATTGGAAAATAATTTTTATAAGGCAGGAAGTTCCCATGTTAAGATTGCACAAAGTGTTAAAAGGCTGCAACATACAATGACCGTACAGATTATAGAGCTTTCATGATTCTGCTTTTAGGTTCAAAATGCACAGTTACTGTCACTATTGTGTCAGTTAGGATAAGCCAAAGGTTTCAAGTAATGGGAGGGAGGGAGGCAGGGAGGGAGGCAGGAAGGAGGCAGGGAGGCAGGGAGGCAGGAAGGCAGGAAGGCAGGAAGGCAGGAAGGAAGGAAGGAAGGAAGGAAGGAAGGAAGGAAGGAAGGAAGGAAGGAAGGAAGGAAAATGGATGTCAAACTCATGACAAATGAAGTTTGCTCTAGTAGTAAGGCACCAGTCAAAAAAGAGGCTGAAAGACCAAGAATTAAGGTGGCAGAGAACTGAATGTGACAATTCTGACAGTGAATAATAAGCTTATTACTTGAAGGCTAAGGCTGAAATTCTGGCCCTTAGTGAAGTCAGTGGAGCCTGAATTTTTATTCTGAGCAAGAGAACTGTTAATATCCAATCCTCCTGGTAAGTTTGTGCGGTGGATATAAGTCAGGAAGAGGTTACCCTGATACTATTGCCCTGAAATATGTGTTAGGAGTTATGCAATCTATTATTTTCTTCTTAAATTTTTCTTGGAAATAGTCTTAGATGAGGATCTTCTTATGATGACCAGACAAGGAAGAGAAGTTATCCTCTGATCCAAAGAACTGAAAATGCAGTCACCCTTCCTGAAAAATCTGCAGGCAACATTCAAAGACTTTATAAGAGAGTAAACCAGTAACCTTACCCACCTGTCATCCTTGTTAGTCAGGAAGACTCTTACAGATGACTCTAAAGGAAAAAAATACAGCAGCTTTGTTGATATCTAATTTGGCTTCTCCCAAACACAGTCATAGCCCAAGAGAAAGCATAACATTGTGTGTTTGGAAATGAGCCCAACAATGATGTGAAGGCATCATCTGGCCCTTTATGACTAAAACTATGCCTAAAACAATCAATACATTTACAAACGTGAATTAGTAAATGTAAAAAGAAAATACCTGAGAAATACTGACAATAAAAAAACCCCTTATTTTAAAAATACTTATATGTATATTAATACAACTGATTTGTTTAAATAGGTGAATATATTATTTAATAAGAAAGAGTCTTCCATTTGGAAAGAAATAGGAAGCGGAGTTGTCTGTAAGATCATTAATTTCTTGAAGGAGACAAATCAGAAATTGCTATTCAAGTGTTCCTCATAATATAAGGACTTAAAAAATTACTTTGAAGCACATACAAACTCTCAAAAGGGAAATACATTTTAAATGATCCACAAGTAATTTGCAGATCTTACTGCCACAGAATGACTTGGCTTGCAAAATACAAGTGAGCTCCAAAAGTAGTTAGATAAATTAATGGCAAAGCAATTCACCCAAGCCAATCTGAACACCATGATGCAGATGCAGCCTCCTACTCAGAAAGTCCCTAAAGTGCGTAGTCAGAACTTAGGAGGCTGTACGAAAAGGAAGCATCTCTGAAAGCAACCCTGATTATTTTCCTGATTAGCAGTTGGATAAAATCAGAGACATAATAATAGCAGCTAATTGTCTTTTGTAGCCATCTGTTGTTCTCTGGGCAGTTTTGGGTTAAGTTGTATTTTTTTTTTCCAGGAAAAAGGTATGTATGGTAGTTGAAGCCAGGAAATGTGTAGCTGGAGTGGATCATTGAGCAGTTTAGACTGGCACACCTTTCATATAAAAGGCCTTGAGGTACATATAGCTTAAAAAACATGCAGTGATGATAAAAGCCCTGAAAACATTTTGCATCTGGATTTGTATAAAACTTGGTCTTGCTAGACTGTCTAAACAGGTTCATTGCTGTGGGTAGTATCTTCACCCAGTACAAGAAACTGTAATGAAACAAGAATGGTTCAAAAAATTACATTGATCCAGTGCTATATCATATAATGTCCTCACTGGAGAGTGTGTGCCCATGTGCAGGTACCAGGACTTGTGATGGCAGTTCTTAGTTCCCTGAAATGTAGCAGCATTCAGGCTGTACTCAGTGGGCTCTGTATAGCTCAGCACACTGTTTTGCACTTCTTTGTAAATCAAAGGAATATCTTTGTGTTGTGTTGTGTACATTATAAAATCAATTCAATGGATGGTTTTTACACATCTTAGTCTGATGTGTCCCTTCCTACACTGATGGAAACACCTGTCAGTATTAGTGCTGCTGTATTTGGTCCTGCCCAGTTGTACATCATATACAAATGCAGAAGATTAATCCTTCCAACACAAAGGAAAATTAAACTCTATTCCCCCTTATTTTCTTTCCCCATCTTTTCTCCTTCCTCAGTAGGTTTGAAAATACTTCTTCTTTGATGTCTGCCATTCTGCTATTTAAATAAGCAAAAACCCAAAAAAGGAAGTTAGAATGAAAGCAGTTGAAAGTTTGTCTAAAGATACCCCAGTTGGCTTTGTTGACAACCCTGGATGGTGGAAATGGTTTAGGCTTGGCAGCAAAATCCCTGTGGCTGCAGAGGTGCAGCAGTGAACTTCAAAATGGTTACTTTGTGCATCTGAGCTTTGAAAATTGCAACCTGGAAATGTTGGATTTAAGCTGGATTTAATGTTGGATTTGAGTCCCATAATAAAATATAGATGCTCTAGTTAATCCCACATTGTTACTTCATAGTCTCTGTCCAGATCAAGTGACTTCTGCAGGCACTGTTTAGTAACAGAAATGTTTTGATTTCCATGTTATCAATGTATTTTGAGACTGAAAAAATTATTACTACTGTACAACACTGTTCCTCTGCAACAGACTTCCAAAATTGAAGATGGTTCTAGTCTGTCCTATCGCTAAATATATTTATGTATCTAATTATTTTTGTACATTTTGCCAAGCTGGAACTACTAATTAGTTAAAATGCTCATTTTTACTTTGTGGTACTGCTTCCTCTTGTTTTTCTTTTGTTAGACACCAGTTATTATAAGTAGCATGATTAGAAATAACTCCTGTTTTAAAGTTTCAGAATGAAATGAAAACCTGTATTCTTTAAAATATTTATTGCAAGTTTAAAAATACTTTAACTCAAATACCAGTATATATATGCAATTGTGATATAACAAAACAGGAATATAGTTTGTAATAAGAATTTACAGTAGTTGATGCTGCTGAAGAAGGAAAAGTTTCCTATTTCTTGAGACTATGAAAATGTCACTAGTGGCAAGCTTGTTAACTTCATTTGCTAGAACTGAATTTTTCAAGAACAGCATTTCTGAAGTAAATAGTTGTATAGATATGCATGTTTGATATTTGGTTGAATTTTTTGTTGCTATAGTGAAAATTTTATAATTGTATGTGTAATCACTTTAATTATTGAATTGTCTGTTATATAAAAGTGTTTTCTTTATTTGGAATCAGTTTGATATAGAACAATGTATGGGCATTTTTTCTCAAAGAAGTCCATTTGATTGCCTAACATAACACAGGAACATTGTGGGAAACTCTCATTATAAATTTTGTCTAATGCATGTTTTTCTTCACCAAATAGTTACAGCAGTAAAAAGAATCGTGTTTGTCTTCTGACTAAAATAGTTGTATCACAGATATTGTGGATTTTGCATTCTCCCTAATGGTCTGGACTTTACAGCTCTTCTGAATTGCCTGGAGTGGCTGCTGAAGAATAAATTGTAGCCTGATTGAGTGATATAACTCAAGCAAAGCAACAAAGATCCTTTTCTGGTTTAGTGCTTGGATCAAATAAGTGATTTAATCAGTTTATCTTATAATATATATGAATACAATTGTTTCATGAATATTGACAAAATCTTTTTAAACTTGCAGCAAGTAGTGGCAGCAATAAATGCAGGAATCATACCTATAGGAAACACATCTGCTCAGATCAGTCACTGGGACTTGGGAAGTTCCTTCTTCTTTGCTGGCACTGTTATTACCACCATAGGTAGGACACAGCTTATTATCTTTTTATAGTCAATGAGCTGAAACTCTTTTGATTTCCAGTATGTGTATATATCTGTTAATGGTAAATCTTCCAAATCTTCTGTTTTAAGTAGAGAGTTATTTTCTAGCTGCAGGGCCAGAAATAATAGCTGTCTGTAAAGGAGCCCTAGCTGAGTGATTTTTCTATAGAAAAAAAATGTTGCTGTACATTTCTCTCAGGTGACTGGAAGAGGTTGTGGAAATATTTTCTGGGGAGAATTTGGTCAACTGTACAATCACAACTGTTAAATAGGGCATGATTTAAAGAACATGTGCATTAAACCATGACTGAGTTGTGTGGAATTTAAAGCCTGTGTTCTCCCATTCAGTGCTGTTATTTTATCTTAATTCTGAAAGAGTCACTATCCCTCTGAGCAGGTGTAAAAAGAAACAGCGTTAGATATTTAGATTTCTTCCCTTTGACTACAATATTGCACACATGGTATGGAGTTAAAAATTTAATGTAGCTCATAGCTCACAAAAGGGCATTAACAAAGATAGATGGAAATTTGAAGATGAAATAATGAGAAAAAAGTTTTGATAGTAATATATAAGGAATTGTAACATCTTTGCAATAATTACCACTACATAATATTTATATGCATATTGTGATGGGAGAGGATGTTCTTTTCAAGTATTGTCTGGACCCTTTTTCTTTCTTTATGTAGAAGTGCATAAGTACCATATTTTTTGTGAGTTTGAGTGTAAACATGTCTACATTTATATGTATGAACATTGTGCCTATGTGATATTTTTCCACATCTAGAGTAACTGAAACACAGGTGTAGTGAAACAGTCTTAATGTTATCCTCCTTGGACAGCACTCGACTTTATGTTGTAAGCATCCATGGTCCTATAGAAAGGGCTTAATAGTTGCTTTACCTTTTAATAAGGATAAAAGCTACCATATGAGAAGTGTTCAAGGAATTAAAAGTTTAAAAATTATTTTAAAGCAGTGGAACATTTTGTCTCACCATCTTTTTTCCAACTAAAACTAAGGCTTTTCTAAATCATAGTGTTTTCTGATTTAATTTACTGACCTGATTCTGCTAAGCCATGTGTGAGTCCAGCTTAGAAGAGAGCAGTGATCTGCAAAGGCATCCAGGCCTTTGATCCACTGCTCCCAAGAGGCAAGATAACTCAATAGGAAATACATTTGAAAATTAATATTTCAATTCAAAGTCATTTCTGCAAACCAGAGTTGTCACAAGCAGGTCAAACTAGGCAACAGTAAATATTTGTTTCAGGTTTTGTGATAGCCTGAGAAAAAAATGGACAACAGAAGTCTTCCATAAAATATTTTGGCTTTGGAGTGACTGGGTTTCTTTCATCATGGACCCTTTCTGATGCGAAGCTCACAGCCAGCTGCACTTTTAAGCTTTTCTCAGGATCCAAGGAAAGCAAATTTATATGGAAGCTGTAGCATGGTTGGTGCTGTCTCAGTGCTGTGAACCACCTCTTCCATGGCTGACAGGGCTTGTGGTGTGACAGAAGGTGATGCTGTGGTGAAAAGCATGTGGAAAAGTGAATTACCTGGGAAAATGCTGGTGAGCAGAGCAGCTGGGAGTGCTTTCCCTTAATCTTTGTGTCATTATATGCCAGCAAGTGATTTTTTCGCTTTCAGTTCAGAACAATACCTTTTCGTATATGAGTAACTTTTTGAAAATAGAGCCATTCCTTCCAGTTAGAGAGCAAAGGGTATTATAATAACTCAATTTCTCAAGAGAGTCAAAATGTGGTTTATGAACATCTTCAGAGAGCTGCCATGTGTTTCAGACAAACGCCACAGATATTCTCTGTGGACAAAGACAGGACCTTATAAATTCATAGAACATCTTTAGAGAAATAATTTGTACATGTATTTTGATAAATATGAATAAAATTTGTAAAGATTATGGCCTTTAGTCTGTATACCTTAAGAAGTACTTGCAGATGAGAAAAGGGATTACTACCATTTAGAGACAGTGATAGTTTTCCAGTGTTGCAGCAGATTTTGTAGCTTTCCAAACTACTTATTACTATAATTTTACCATGTCACTTAGCCCACACTCTTCCTGGTGATATCTAAGATTTTAAGACATTCAAATGGAACCAGTAGTCTATGAATAGAATTTCTCAAACCTTCCTTTAATGAAAGCAAAGCTTTTCTTTATTGCCAGTAGCACTTGCATCCCACAAATATTTGGTTTCTGGGGAGAGAGGATAATAAATAAAGCCTTTAGCATCTGCCTAAGCAATAAATTACTGTTTTGAAGTTACTGTTCTTCTTGTATCCCAGTAGTGTTGAACACTGACATGAAAAATATTGACTGTCTGTTTTGGTGGCTGCTGACAGCAGACTAGAACCATCTTCTGGATCTCCTTTAGGTTTCTGAAAGGCCCTCTGATGGTGTCATTATGTCCTTAGAGTTCCAAAGCCAGCTCACAAAAACAGAGGCAACACTTCAGAAAACATGGCTTAGTATTTATGTAACATTTTTTGAAGTCTGTTATAATCCTTCATGTGACTCAATAAATGTTACAGTGCATAATGTAAACTTAGCAAGATCAGTTTGAATAGAATATGATGTGATACTGCTACTAGATTGTCACCCTGAAAACTAAGCCTTCTGATCTTGTTTTCATAGTTTTAGTTACTTTCCCAGGAAAGTAACTGTAAACGTAAGTGCTTACACATTCCTTCTAAGAAATGTCTTTGATGGACATTTTGCATGACCAGTGTGCTTGGGAAGGTAGTAACTTAGCTATCCAATACCTGGTCATTGTCAAGAATCTATAAATACTGGAGTCAGAAAATAAAGTTACTTCTTCTCCTGTCATACCACTGAGACGTATTCCTGTGAATCATTCCACATCCTTTAGGGACACTAGGTCTTTTCTAAACAGTGGATTTAGTTGAGAGTCATAATCAAACAGTTTCACAAAGCTTTCTTTAGAACAGGTCCTCGGTTTTAGCTTTGCCTTTCCTACTGTGTTACAGCACAGAAGTTTTTTCAGGAAGGGTTATAGTTTTGACTGGCTTAGTTAGGTGTTCTTGGTTGTGAATATGTTTCCAGAACAAATATACCTCATCTCAACAAAGAGATGTGAAATTACATGATTATTAGTCTGTGCATATGGAATGGTTTCAGACAGTCTCTTAGAGGGAAAAGGGCAGCAGAGGAAATAGGAATATGAAATTATCTATGAAAAATATTGTTGCATTGTTCCCTGGGATACTGTGCATGCTGCAAAGTACAAAGGAACCTCTTTTTGTCTACCTGAAACTGTCATTATCCAGTCAGTCCTGCTCTAAGACCACATGACCAAAGAAAAGAAAAAAGAGGGTTGAGGAGAAAAGGAAGAAAAATGGTAACTTAATCATAAAGCTGGAGGTAGTGCTGAGAAGGAGGGGAAAATAACTTTAATGTCTCCTCTTTTTATTCTGAGAGCTCATTTCTGGCACTGTGCATGGTTTGTAACCTCTGGATTAATAGGTAGCTGAACTCAGAAATGGCCATACAGACACAACCTGTACACACCCCAATTTCCCCCAGATTTATGTTTAGGAGTTTTGTATGGGCTGCAGGGTAAAGAAGGAGACCTGTCATTTTGAAGCCTGAGACCTGTGTCTAGAAAAATGAAAAAACAAAGAAGACATGCCAAGGCCTTGAGCTCAGCAAGTTGTTTTCCCAAACGTCTGGTGTCTCAGCACATAAAAAATGGAGTGTCCTCTGTAATACAAGAAACTGCATCGTGAGAACCTCTACTAGCCTGCTATGAGTCTTCATCTAAAAGAGCCGCATTATTTCCACTCTCATTCCAGCCAGTCTGTAATGATTTTTTCAGTCTGTAATGATTTTTTCAAGCTCTGCAAGGTAGACATATGGGAAGAGTGTTTTATTCAGCCTCCTGGAAGATGGAGTGTCTTGGATGGCAGTTGAGAGCACGGTGGCAGTGCCAGCAACATCGCTGGTAGCTGTGGTTTGCCAGAGTGCATCCTTTCAAACAGAGCTCCTGTAATGTATTACAGGAGGATGCAGCCCCATTGATGTCCAAACCCAACAGTTGCTAAAAACTGGGTCCAAAAAATCCAAAAAGGAAGAACATATCATTTATTTTTGTCCTTTTCTACTTTTGTTGCCACCAGCTCTTGACTTTCAAACCCAACATCTCGTGTTCACTGTAAACTGAACCTCTTGAGAAGCTCATTCATGACTGAAGTCTTTAATCTAGGATCATGCAGCTAGCTATGGGAATATGGGGTTTTGGGGTCCAAAAGCATAGCAATCATTATTAAAGTGTGCAGAGGAAAACAAAACAAAAAATACTCCAAAAAAACCCAAAACAAAACAAATAAACCCAGCAACACCCCCACCCAGAAAAACCCCAAACAAACCTACAACAAAAAAATATAAAAAGAAAAACCATTTGTAAATATTTAAACTTTAGGGAACAGATCCAAATAGCAAGCAGCTAAGATACTGAAAAATAGATTTATGTTTTTGACTAGAAATTTCAACCTGATTTGTCATTTTTAAAGCTGCAATTAGTTATGTAGCTTCAAATGCAATTTCACTATAAGGAATAATTCCTTCTGTCATTTTCCCACTAGTTGGACACAAGGTTTACATGTGAAGACAGGGTCTTTTAGAAAGTCTTATTACATTGCTTGTTGACTTGGAACAATAATAAAATCCTGCTGCTAAAACTGTCCTTTCTGGCACCATTCCACTGCATTTTTAAAATACAAGGTAATAGAATAATGTGCTGACAACTAAAATATACAAAACACTTTTGACGTTACAAAAAGACAAATATTGTTCATAATGAGATATTGCCTATTATGTCAGATAATCATAGAGCTAAAAATGTGCAAATGACATTGAAAAAATTGTTCTCCTAGTTCAGAAAAGTAGGAAACATGCTTATCTTAGAATATGTTACTTTTTAAAGTTATTTGTTCCACCAAAGAAGAAACAA